CTGCTGCTGCTGTTGCTGCTGCTCCGCGCTGCCGCCGCCGCCGCCGCTGCTCCTGCTCCTGCTCCTGCTGCTGCTGCTGCTGCTGCTGCTGCTGCTGCTGCTGCTGCTGCTGCTGCTGCTGCTCAATTGTGGTGACCCGCACGCCCTGACCGGGCAGGTGCTGATGCACAACGAGGTCTTCAATGAAGCCAAGGTGCGTGCGCGCCAAAAGGGGCTGGGAATTTTGGACACGTCAGTTTTGGGCAGCAGAGTGCGGCAGATCCATCCCGCACCGCATTCAATTTACACCTGCCCGACCCATGATTGCACACAGCTGCCCTTGCTCCTGCCAGCATCAGCAAAGGCCAGTGGCACCGCATTTCCCATTTCTCGCAAATGCAACCACCTCGCCCACCCATGCCATCACCCTGATTGCTGCTTAATTAACCCCATCACACAACCCTCAGATCTACTCCTTCAACGAGGGCCTGTTCCAGGCCTCACCCGGATGGGACTGGGACGTCTTCTCGCGGGACGAGGACCCCCAGCACTTCCTGGTGGAGCTGCTGCAGCTGCGCCCTCACACGGAGGAGCGGGGACGGGCGATGGCCGGGAGGGGCTGCAAAGCCGTCGGCTTCAAGCTCTTTCCAGGTGAATGGCCGTGCGCAGGAAGGGCGCTGGGCAGCAGCATCAGCTAGCGCCAGCTGTGCTGCTTGCTATGACCTTGCTTTCTTGCAGTTGGTCAGGCCTTCCTGTCCCCTGTGTGTGGGGATCTTGCTTGTACAAGCCACTGTTAATGACAGATTCTATCATGCGCCTTGTCGCCTTGCGTCTTGCTGCGCGTCGCTGTTGGCCGCAGAGCACTGGAAGGGCGCGACCACGACCGTGTTCCAGCGCCTCCTGGCGGACCCCCGCGTCAAAAAGATTGTGCTGCGGCGCGGCAACCACCTTGACGTCTACGCCTCCAAGCTGAGAGCGGACAAGGTCGGTGGGGCCAGGCAGCTGCAGAGCAGGCGGGTGGCGTGCTGCTGCTGCCATCGCTGTTGCCGCCGCTCCCATTGGCTGTATTTTAATCGGCACTGCAAACATTTGCAATGTTCATCACATACAATTGCTTCCCATCAGATCACCAAGCCGCCCTTCTGCTCCCGCGGTGGCCCACAGACCGGTGCTTACATAGGCAAGCGGCTGGACCAGGTCCCCCTGGAAGTGGACTTGGCCGCCTTCCAGGGCTTTGTGACCCACTATGACAAGGTGAGTCCCTGGGCGTCCAACCACCCTCAGTCCAACTCCAGTGTATCAAGTGATGTGGACCCTCGTGCTCTGTACTCAGCACGCAAGTCAAAGAGATGGTTTTGGAATGCAGTGCAGGCCTGTGCAAACGTGCGTGCGTGCATTGCTGCGACCTTGAGATAGAAGAGCGCTGCCTGTGGTCACCCCCCACCTTGCACCGGCTCCCAAACCATTAGTGGGTGCATGAGCTGCCTTTGTCTTGCATCATCTCGTCATCCGCACCCACCCACACAGGTGTACGCTTACTACGACACTCTGCTGGAGGGCCAGGGCACCGCCAGCGTCCTCCGCATCAGCTATGACGACCTTGCAGCCGCTTTCACCGACGACGCCGGCATGGTCGGCGGTGCCGCTCGCAGCGAACTGGGCGGGGCTGGGGGCGGCAGCGGGGGCGGCGACGGCGGCGCGGATGGCTGCTGCGCGGCGCGCCGGATCCAGGCGTTCCTGGGCGCCGCGGCCGCGCCGCCCAAAGCGCTGGCTGTGACGGTGAAGCAGACGAGGCGACCGCTGAAGGAGGGCATTGAGAACTTCGACGACCTCGCATTTGCATTCAGCTGCACAAAATATGCTGGCTGCTTTGCCTGCTACAATGACGGGGACGACTACCGCGGCAGTTGAAAGGGTTGTGTCAGTTGTGCTGTTTGCTTGGAGCACGCAGTTGCGCTGTGCGATGTAACAGTGACGGCCGGCTACGACTCCAGGGTGATTTAGGTTGTTCTCGTTTCAGCTATGTAATTGCTTACTGTGACTTTGTACCGAGTACCACTCCCCACGTGCACGCGCAGTTCCGATCTCGTTTACGACACCGGCGGCGTTCACATCACCGGCTCTGCAGGATTTTGCTCCCGCAAAATCCTACATCACAACTCAAGCAGTCATGACGTGAGATGATCGACCCCGGCCCGAGCCCCGCGATGCTCGATCTCGTACTGCGAGGGGCGCTGCTGCTGCGGCACACATATAGGAACATACGCGAACGGCATATTCAGCGGGCAGCCTGAGCAGCGATCGCAGCAGCTGCCACGGCAGCAGCATGAGAAGGCACTCCTCCCACGTCAGCCAGAGCCTGGCTGTGAGCCTCCTGCGCTGAGCTGCTGAGGGCACCCCTCCTGTCTTCCTGCCTCAGGGATGCTACAGCGACCGCTGCTACAACACGTGAGAAAGACACGCTGAGCTTTCCCGCCAAGACGCAAGTGTGCATTGTGTCGATGAAGGGGTTCAACAAGACAACAGGCACTTGTCGACAAGGCAGCGCTCCCGCCTAGGATGAGCGAGGACGAACTCATCAGGTGTGCCCCCAAAGCACTGCAAGCGTGCTTGAAGGTCGCCTGCACGTCCGGCGTCATCGGAACTGGCGCTGTGAATCGATGCCAATCACCCTTGACACCCTCCCTGCTACGCCCCCCCCCCCCGGCGGGCGCAATCACCCCTCACCATCGCGCGCTGCTCACGTCCCTCCACACAGCGCCAACGCCGCCACGGTCATCGCAGCACCCGGATTCGACAAGGCCAAGTACCAGCGCGCGGCAGAGAAAGGGGAGCGCACGCCCCTGGCGGCAACATGGCTCAGCGCCAGGAAGGCGGACAGGTGCGGGCATTTCGCTACTACTCATGTGCGAGCTGCTTTTGAGTGAGCCACGCCAGCTGGCTGTAAGGCTTGCTGCCTGTCGCGATGGCAGTGATGCTATGGTATGAGTAACTTATCTATCTATCGCGCATGCTGAGCGCTATGATGTAGACAAAAACATGTGGTTGGTTGGTTGTGGGCCTCTGACGAAATCGGGGACGGCCGCAATGATCCATCAACCGGGCCTCAACGCATACATGCACCAGTGGCGCTCTCCCACTGGTGCCTAACTGACTCCCTCCCATTCACACACACACACA